AATAATAATAATAATAATAATAATAATAATAATAATAATAATTGGTGGGAATGGAGGACATCACCTGGAGTGCCTCGTAGTCCAGCGCAGGCGACACACATCCAGCCCTCACAAGTGAAAGGAGCACCAACCTTCATGCAGCAGCTCCTGCCGTTTATATTGAACATGAGTCAACAGTGTGATGCGGCAGCTAAAAAGGCCAATATGATTCTAGGCTGCATTAATAGAAGTATAGTGTTTAGATCAAGGGAAGTAATAGTGCCACTGTATTCTGCTTTGGTCAAGCCCCACCTGCAATACTGTGTCCATTTCTGGGCACCCAATTCAAAAAAGATGTTGACAAGCTGGAGCGTGTCCAAAGGAGGTACCCTACTGGGTACCAAAATCCAGGTCCCATTCTGTCCCATTCTGTGCAATGGCAAAGTGAAATGGTGTCCCTTTACAGGGCGACCAGATGGCCTCACTGCCAAAGAGGACAAGGCACTGCAAAATCACCATCATCTCCATCATCATTGTCATCATCATAATCACTGTTATCATCCTCATCACCATCATTATCATTATCATCATCATCACCATCCTTATCATCATCATAATCATAATCATAATCACCATCATACCACCATTATCATCATCACCATCATCATTATCAACATCATAATCACATTATCATCATAGTCATCATCATCATCATCACCATCATTATTACATCGTCATTATTATCATTATCACTGTCATCACCATCATCATCAGGAGGGGGGAGCCTTCGCTGCCTAAATGAAGCCGCCATCCTACTATGTCTTTGCATCTTAGTGGGTATTCACTCTTTCATTGCATCCACTTCTCTTCCTGGAAGGAGATGGAGGGAGGGAGCCACTGGTTCTACAGACCATACGGAGGGAGCTTTGTTAATGAGACCATTTATTTTAGCTTGTTTTTAAATGAGGCTACTGGTCTTTGTACTTTGGCCACATCATGAGAAGGCATGGCTCGCTGGGAAAGACAATAATGCCAGGAAAGGTGGGGGGCAGTGGTTTGGGTGCTGGCTACAACTTTGGAGACCAGGGTTTGATTCCCGGCTTGGCAATGTCTCATACACAGGGTCGCCATGAGTTGAGCTAACTAGAGGGCTGTTAACAAGAAACAACTGGCCTGGGATATCAGTATAGAAAGGGATCATGTAGTACCTTTTTAGACTAAGAGCCCTGGTGGCGCAGTGGTTAAATGCCTGTACTGCAGCCACTCACTCATAAAAAACCACTAGGTTGCAAGTTCAATACTAGCCAGGGCTCAGGCTAGACTCAGGCCTGCATCCTTCCGAGGTCGCTAAAATGAGTACCCAGCTTTTGGGGGGGCAATGAACTTACAGTTGTAAACTGCTTAGACACCCCATAGCACGGTATGAAGCAGTATATAAATGAAGCTGTTTTGCTTTTGCTTTTAATCCTGCCAAAGAAGTTGCAGCATAAGCTTTGGTAGACCTGGTCTGCCTCCTCAGAGGCATGGATTTCCTTGGCAACTGGAGAAAAGAAGCTTAAAAACAAACAGCCAAGGTGGTCCATTGGTTAGGAGGCTGGACTGAGGTCTGGAGATCCAGGCTCTATTCCCCGCTAAGGCACAAAAACCTCCCTAGTAGACTTGGGGCAGCTACTCTCCCTTACTTTCTGTTTCTCTTGGCCTAACCATGACCATCTTGGAGGAAAGGCATGAGTTACATGTTTTGTTATTATGTGTCTTCAAATTGAATTCAACCTATGGTGACCCTATCCTGGGCGTTCTTGGCAAGATTTGGTCAGAGTAGGTTTGCCATTGCCTTCCCCTGAGGCTGAGAGAGGCTGAGTTGACCAAGGTAACCTTGGGCTTGCATGACCAAGTCGGGATTCCACCTTCAGTCTCCCAGGGTCCTAGTCCAACGCTCAGACTGCTCCACCAGGTATGAGCAAAGGGTGGCCCTCCAGATGCTGCTGGACCAGGGCAATTGCTCAGGGCCTCTCAATGGCTGCTGAAAGAAAAAGGTGCAGCTTGCTTCATCTTCCCCCTTCACTTGCTGAATCTCCTGATGCTGCTGTTATCAGCACTATGGCAGGAATCCTGCATGGCACAGCTTAGCATGGAACTTCTGCCTGTAGAACTACACTATAGCTGGCCATTCAACACTCTTGGCCTTACTGTTGATCTGCTGCAGCCCCTCCATGGCCATTCTGGTGGAGAAGGTGGGGGATGAGTGCGGTCTCTGACTGGGTCCAAATAGCCAGATGCAGAATGATTGTATCATCTGCTGTAGTCTGCTGGGATCCTCCAGAGCAGTGGTTCTCAACCTGTGGGTCGAACGACCAAAACACAGGGGTCGCCTAAAGCCATCGAAAAATA